TTTTTGAAAATTTTAACGAAAAGTCTTGGACCAAATCTGATTCCTGATTCGTTTTAAACATGTCAAAATTAGTGTCTTTGGAGCTTTTCACATGTGTAGGACGCTTAAGGAAAGAAATATTTTTCGAACTGAACTAACCTATATTATATCATGAATTGCTATTTTTGAAAATCTTAACGAAAATTCTTGGACCAAATCTGATTCCTGATTCGTATTTAACATGTCAAAATTAGTGTCTTTGGAGTTTTTCAGATGTGTAGGACGCTCGGGGAGAAAAAATATTTTTCGACGTGAACTAACCTATATTATCATGAATTGCTATTTTTGAAAATTTTAACGAAAAGTCTTGGACCAAATCTGATTCCTGATTCGTTTTTAACATGTCAAAATTAGTGTCTTTAGAGTTTTTCATATGTGTAGGACGCTCGGGGAGAAAAAATATTTTTCGACGTGAACTAACCTATATTATCATGAATTGCTATCTTTAAAAATTTTAACGAAAAGTCTTGGACCAAATCTGATTCCTGATTCGTTTTTAACATGTCAAAATTAGTGTCTTTGGAGTTTTTCAGATGTGTAGGACGCTCGGGGAGAAAAAATATTTTTCGACGGGAACTGACCTATATACTTATTATCATGAATTGCTATTTTTGAAAATTTTAACGAAAAGTCTTGGACCAAATCTGATTCCTGATTCGTATTTAACATGTCAAAATTAGTGTCTTTGGAGTTTTTCAGATGTGTAGGACGCTCGGGGAGAAAAAATATTTTTCGACGTGAACTAACCTATATTATCATGAATTGCTATTTTTGAAAATTTTAACGAAAAGTCTTGGACCAAATCTGATTCCTGATTCGTTTTTAACATGTCAAAATTAGTGTCTTTAGAGTTTTTCATATGTGTAGGACGCTCGGGGAGAAAAAATATTTTTCGACGTGAACTAACCTATATTATCATGAATTGCTATCTTTAAAAATTTTAACGAAAAGTCTTGGACCAAATCTGATTCCTGATTCGTTTTTAACATGTCAAAATTAGTGTCTTTGGAGTTTTTCAGATGTGTAGGACGCTCGGGGAGAAAAAATATTTTTCGACGGGAACTGACCTATATACTTATTATCATGAATTGCTATTTTTGAGAATTTTAACGAAAAGTCTTGGACCAAGTCTGATTCCTGATTCGTTTTAAACATGTCAAAATTAGTGTCTTTGGAGTTTTTCACATGTGTAGGACGCTTAAGGAAAAAAATATTTTTCGAGCTGAACTAACCTATATTATCATGAATTGCTATTTTTGAAAATTTTAACGAAAAGTCTTGGACCAAATCTGATTCCTGATTCGTTTTAAACATGTCAAAATTAGTGTCTTTGGAGTTTTTCACATGTGTAGGACGCTTAAGGAAAAAAATATTTTTCGAGCTGAACTAACCTATATTATATCATGAATTGCTATTTTGAAAATTTTAACGAAAAGTCTTGGAACAAATCTGATTCCTGATTCGTTTTCACCATGTTAAAATTAGGGTCTTTGGAGTTTTTCAGATGTGTAGGACGCTCGGGGAGAAAAAATATTTTTCGACGGGAACTAATAACCTATATTATATCATGAATTGCTATTTTTGAAAATTTTAACGAAAATTCTTGGACCAAATCTGATTCCTGATTCGTTTTTAACATGTCAAAATCAGTGTCTTTAGAATTTTTCATATGTGTAGGACGCTCGGGGAGAAAAAATATGTTTCGACGTGAACTAACCTATATTATCATGGATCGCTATTTTTGAAGATTTTAACGCAAAGTCTAGGACCAAATCTGATTCCTGATTCGTTTTTAACATGTCAATATTGGTGTCTTTGGAGTTTTTCAGATGTGTAGGTCGCTGGGGAAGAAAACATATTTTTCGACCTGAACTAAACCCATATTATCATGAATGCTATTTTTGAAAATCTTAACGAAAAGTTTTGGACCAAATCTGATTCCTGATTCGTTTTTAACATGTCAAAATAAGTGTCTTTGGAGTTTTTCAGATGTGTAGGACGCTCGGGGAGAAAATAGTTATTTATTATACAAGGGAAAAAAGTAGTAGATTTTAGCTCCAGGTTGTGTTGTCTCCCGACGCGTAGCGGAGGGAGACAAAAAACCGTGAGCTAAAATCTAATATTTTTCCCGTGTATAATACACTATTTTTTTCTGTGGCAGAAGGAAGGACGAATCAATATTGAGAAGATATTACATTATTTCGAAATGTGAAAATTATCGACGTGAAATTTCAAGTTTTTAACAGTAGGGTCACCTGCGTTTTATAGACATCTTTATCATTCTTTTGAAGTTATCAAATATCTGATGTCACTTCTGTCAGTTCGATTCTGTGATTTGATTTTAAAAAATTGCGAATTCAGTAGTTGTTTAGTAATATACGAAACTGCGAAGTCGAATGGAAGATAAAAGGACTTGCAGTTCTTTCTCGGAGACGGTATTATTGACTCATTTTTCGGAACTATAGCACAACAAAAGCCATTAACAGAGTATATATATGTGATATATATCCGGGAAAAAAGTACTCACTTTTTTCCCACGGGAAAAAAGTAATTTATGAAAAGTGACATTTTATAACCTGCCAACAGAGATGAAATGCCAAACTTTTTTCCCGTCACAGAAAAAAATATTTTTCGACGGGAAATAAACCTATATTATCATGAATTGCTATTTTTGAAAATTCTAACGAAAAGTCTTGGACCAAGTCTGATTCCTGATTCGTTTTTAACATGTCAAAATCAGTGTCTTTAGAGTTTTTCATATGTGTAGGACGCTGGGAGAGAAAAAATATTTTTCGACCTGAACTAACCTATTTCATCATGAATTGCTATTTTTGAAAATTATAACGAAAAGTCTTGGACCAAATCTCATTCCTGATTCGTTTTTAACACGTCAAAATTAGTGTCTTTGAAGTTTTTCAGATGCGTAGGACGCTCGGGGAGAAAAAATATTTTTCGACGTGAACTAATAACCTATATTATCATGGATCGCTATTTTTGAAAATTTTAACGAAAAGTCTTGGACCAAATCTGATTCCTGATTCGTTTTAAACATGTCAAAATTATAGTGTCTTCGGAGTTTTTCACATGTGTAGGACGCTTAAGGAAAAAAATATTTTTCGAGCTGAACTGACCTAGCTATATCATGAATTGCTATTTTTGAAAATTTTAACGAAAAGTCTTGGACCAAATCTGATTCCTGATTCGTTTTTAACATGTCAAAATTAGTGTCTTTGGAGTTTTTCAGATGTGTAGGACGCTGGGGAAAAAAAATATTTTTCGACCTGAACTTATATGTACCTATATTATCATGAATTGCTATTTTTGAAAATTTTAACGAAAAGTCTTGGACCAAATCTGATTCCTGATTCGTTTTTAACATGTCAAAATTAGTGTCCTTGGAGTTTTTCATATGTGTAGGACGCTCGGGGAGAAAAAATATTTTTCGACCTGAACTTATACCTATATTATCATGGATTGCTATTTTTGAAAATTTTAACGAAAAGTCTTGGACCAAATCTGATTCCTGATTCGTTTTAAACATGTCAAAATTATAGTGTCTTCGGAGTTTTTCACATGTGTAGGACGCTTAAGGAAAAAAATATTTTTCGAGCTGAACTGACCTAGCTATATCATGAATTGCTATTTTTGAAAATTTTAACGAAAAGTCTTGGAACAAATCTGATTCCTGATTCGTTTTCAACATGTCAAAATTAGGGTCTTTGGAGTTTTTCAGATGTGTAGGACGCTCGGGGAGAAAAAATATTTTTCGACCGGAACTAATAACCTATATTATCATGAATTGCTATTTTTGAAAATTTTAACGAAAAGTCTTGGACCAAATCTGATTCCTGATTCGTTTTTAACATGTCAAAATCAGTGTCTTTAGAGTTTTTCATATGTGCAGGACGCTCGGGGAGAAAAAATATTTTTCGACGTGAACTAAAACCTATATTATCATGGATCGCTATTTTTGAAAATTTTAACGAAAAGTCTTGGACCAAATCTGATTCCTGATTCGTTTTTAACATGTCAAAATTGGTGTCTTTGGAGTTTTTCAGATGTGTATAGGTCGCTGGGGAAGAAAAAATATTTTTCGACCTGAAACTAAACCCATATTATCATGAATTGCTATTTTTGAAAATTTTAACGAAAAGTCTTGGACCAAATCTGATTCCTGATTCGTTTTTAACATGTTTCTAAATGAATATTTATATTTAATCACGTGTCGTACTCTTAAATAAAAGCAAAAAACAAGTGAATATTTCGAATAATGGGAGCGCTTTCCATTAGCCAACATGAGATAGAAAGAGATAGGTATACGTAACCACTGCGGGTTGCCTGAACAATATTTTTGCCTCACTCGTCCTTCACAGAGGATCCCTCCCAGGTGTTTATATTGAGTTCAGTGCTTTATTGATGCTTTATGCCTTTATGCACACCTTCTTTCAATTTTAAACTCTTCTTCTTGATCAAAGCATAGTCCTCAGCGTACTTAGCCTGATATAAATATGTGTATTATAACATTCAGTGATCCCATAAGTACAATAAGAATCATTCCTTCATATTGTTTTCGAAGTCTAATTTGAACATACGACTAGAATTTTCAGAATTTCCAACATTTTGGAAAAAAAGAGGAAGAAATTGTTTGTCTGACTTCTGACAAAATCGCGCCTGCCCAAGTCAGTTTTATTTGAAAAGTTGGTCATCTCTTTGGGAATAGTTAATGAAAGATAAAATTCAATTTAGGTGCATAAATGAATGAACGGGAATATCAAGTTGTGAAATTACAGATTAATGAAAAAGCGATTTGCATAAATCCGCCTTAATTGTTGAATATTATATTTTAGTTGGAAACCTGGACTGAGATACTCCCATGAAATTTGTTTCAACTTTCTGAGATGGTAGGAATAAAATGTATATATTTCTGAATATAAAAGAAAAAAGAAACATTGTTTTATGTTATATAAATGTATTCACAAGACCAGACACTAATTGGTTTTCTCTTAAATCTAAACTAAAAAAGTCTACTACTACTTACTGAAAATACAAATGGTTAGGTATTTCATTTTTAATAAAACACATTTTTCATCAGGTGGATACTTTCATCGTTTGATATGGATTTAATTAATTAATATTGCTTATTTTTGTTGGATTTAGAAAAGTGCGTTTTCAACATTTAAGTATATGATGATGTGGAAAAATTGATGAAAGTATCTACTCAAGAACTGAACTATATACACAAGTATTCCAATGATTGCTTTTTTGGTTTCGGTTTTCTAAAATACGTTCACTAGAATTGTGTAAAAAAATATTTACATGTTTCAATACTCACTAACTGGGTTTCAAGGATCTTCATAGTTTGTATTTTCTACCATGACTACCATAATACTGTTGAAGGTGTATTGCACAGACATTGACATGTAAAACTATAGAATTTTGAAATTTTGTGAAAATCAAAATGAAATTATGACCTTGCTTAGAAAATACAAACTATAAAGTATAGAATATGGCAAATAAATAAATAAATAAATAAGGTGCTATAAAAACATGTAACTTATATTACATCATTAAAAATGTGGCTGCCACATAGTTGGCTTGGAAGATTTACCGTATAAATAAGGAATACATTCTAAAAATCTATTTTAAATATTTGGCATCATTTACTTCCATAACATATTTATATTCTCGAAGAAGTGACTGGGTATACTAAAACACTATACAATAATTTAATTTTGTAGGCATTCTAAGAACATTATAAATACTTTCTTTTTCCTCGTGTCAAAAATATACTTTCAAAACTAGAAAAGTTAAATGCATACATTAATATCATTTACAACATAGTATGGCCTCTTAATGAAGAACACAATACCGAATGTCGTAATCCAGCATGGACAACGTGAACCAAATTTAAATCTATGTATATATACTTAGGGCTCTGAAAAATATCTTATTTCCATTCAAAGAGAATTATTTCCGAAGGCAAAAATCGTGGACTAGTTATCTAGTTTTTCAGTTTTTACACAGAAAATTGGAATATCGAGATAATACGAATGATTAACGTTTTAAATATTTCAACCATTCATATATGGTTCAAAATATACAATATACTTATGAAACATTCCAAACTTTTGACGAATTAAAAAAATAAAGTTTATTCTTACACAAACATACCATATTAGAATATTTTCACTACAAATACTCTATATATATCATGCAACAATATAAATATGTGGATTTATTTTCGGATGTGGAAAAGGGTTGATTGTGAATGAACAATTCGAAAAATCTTACTATTTATTTCGTAAATGTCCATATCATTGGTACTTACTGGTATCTGACAAGTTTAATTCTATTTGTACTTTGGATTCAACTGGTTAAACTATCATTTATTTAGAGATCAAGAGGCACTGATGAAAATATCTTCGTTCTGGTTATGATAAAGATGATTGCATGCGAATTCACACTTTGGGATTTTTTAACGAACGTAATCATTTGTAAGTTATGGTAAATGACGGTAATATCGGTTCCCAGAGAGTAATCTAAAGTAACTGTTCAAAGTCCCTTCTCAGTCTTTCTAGACAGCAAAAGAAGGTCCAGACTATGGCATACCAGGTGACCCAACATCCTTGAAATTGTCGGTTTTTAATAATGTGTTTTTCTGTCTTCTACTACTAGATATTTGACATAGGGCAAGAAAAAATTTCGAGGTATTTTTTCTAGAAATTTCGAGATTTTATTAAGTTGGCGTCAAGTTTTTACATAATTTGAGATTATATTCCAAAACTTTTATCGTAGCACACCGGTGTACAGGGTTATTCATCAAAAAGGTCCACCCATATATTAACGTTATTTTTTCATCGATAAGAAGGAACGATTATGCGGAAGTTGAATACGACAATGAGGCCTTTTCCACAACACATCACAAAAAATCATAGATTCTGAAAAAAAATATATAAAAAAGGGTCCATTTGAAAAATAATTTGTGGTTTGTCACGCTTTCAGGAATCACCCTGTAAAACTTTTGATAAGACTGTGGAAAGATATCTTTGCGGCATTCAACTTCCGCATATTGTTTTTTTTTTTGATAAAAAAATAAGGGTGGGCCTTCTCAAAGGATAACTCTGTATAAATGATTGTAACAGACGATTTTACCTTTCTTATTTCACCTTTTTTTGCATGAATAATCATTGTTAGAATATCGACTGTGACTATTTCATAAGAAGTCGAAAATTGGAGGATTTGAAGAAAATAATTTTCAGAAAAATTTACAATTTCTGTGGAATATGGAAGAACCAAAATGTGTTCTTGTGAGCCTTATTCTTCAACACTCTGTATGATATAACTGGAAAACTATGATAAGTATTGAGCAACGGATTTTGATGAAGAAAAAACAACCTTTGGATGCTGCTTTCAGATTGAAGATCAGATATATTTTTATAAAAATCCATGACAACTTGATCCAAAATTCGAGTTATTCAGTTTTTTGAGCACTTTCATTGGAAGTTAAATTGATATCACTAATTTTTTCTGCCCAGTTTAAAAGAGATATTGAAGCATTATGTAGAGGGCTATCCATCAAAGAGGATCACATAAATCTATTGGTACAGTATTTTATCTTCACCTGTTTCATTTTTACCACATTCTTCCGTCTCTTGGACTAGTAGGGGACTAAAACGTTTTTTTTTCGAATTTATGGCAATTGATAGTACTGTTGGGTAACCATGGTTTTTACCTTGACTATAGAACACTGATTATCTTCTAGGTTTGAAATCGCTGTGAACTTGTAATTGGATAAAGATTTCGGCAACATCTTCTGAAAATTCAATAGCTACCTGTGAGATCTTAGCACCAAAAAAAAAGTATTCCTAAACATGTTACCTATACGACCTTTAGTAAGGAAAGTTCAGTTTGAAACAAAAATTTAACCACCCTAAATAATGAAGATGTCAAGATCTATAAGGCATATCATCAAATTTTCAGAAAAATATCCTAGTCTTCCAAATCTATCTCAGACGATTGTTCCTGAAACGGACCTGATACAACACACGGAAACATCGGAATCGTAGTAGTCCATGAATGGGTAGGCAACGTAGGCGCCCGCAAACGAACATCATCCAAACAACTTCCGAAACCACCGGAATCCGTATCGGATCTCTCCAACTTCAACGAACTATTCATCTCGGACTTGAGCCTGGCCTTTTCCTGGTTCTCATAGAAACCGTGCTGGGCCTTGTTCATGCTCTTGTGCTGATAAAACACAAGAGAAATCCTTGTTGGAGACGTTCTATCGGGTGTTTTCAAGGCAGTTGTCGCGTGCACCTCGTGCTTAGCGCACTCGAACAAAACGCTGCCGTGCGGCAAGGAAATAGCCACGCCACCTATCTCGCTATCCCGGAAACATTCCTCATTGTCTGAATAGCTGATGTTCACAGTCTGCTCTTTCGGCCGAGGCGTGCAATCTCCATAGGCCGGGGAATACGAATCGTCGAAGGGATTGCTCACTTTGTAAGCCTGCGGATGGGGAGTGGAAGAAGTGCTTGGCAGGAAATAGTAGTAGCTGGGATCGTAATTATCCGGGGAATCGCTCTCGTTCCTGAGGTAGCCGGTTTGCGAGTAATGGTTGCTCATGGGTGTCATCGGCGTTTTGAAAACAGAGAATTGCGGCAGACTGGGGGACGGACTAGACGGATAGCTATCGTTCAACATGGAGGAGGAGTTGCTGCTGTCTGAGGAATAATCGTAGCCCCATGGCTTCTTCGGATAGCCAGAGACGGTGCTGGACACTTGGCCGCTCTGTATCTCCGGCCTAGGGGAGGTGGTGGAAGGTGAAGCTGGTTGGGGGGTGGGCACTTTTCTCGGGCGGCCCCTCTTGCCTCCAGATGGGGCTCTCGGTGGTCTGGGCACGGTGTCGCTTGTGAGGTCCTTGCGAGGTCTGCCTCTTTTGCCTCCTGATGTTTTCGTGGCTTTTCTTCGACTTGGCGACTCGCCGGCGACTGAACACGTTCTGACCTCGCTATAAAACCTGGAAAAAAAACTGGAACTCAAAACAGAGTAGCTAGAGAGAATGAATACCCAGAGGGAACTGAAGCGAGAGTATTTGGGTCACGAAAGAAATATTTCGAGCTCAAGGGAAAATCTCGAGGCATATTCCGAGCGGAAAAACTTCAAGACTATTCAGGATCTTGCCTCGCTCGAATGAACTAATAGCCTATATCAACAATGTGCCCAGGCCCAGCTAACTTTGGTGCAAAAGTCGTTCTAATGATGTACAAAATAGTTATTTATGTATTAAGGGAATTATGAGGGCCTTAATTACCGATGGCAAAGTTTGCGTCCCGAGGGCCTCTGGCCCGAGGGACAGCAATTGCCAGAGGTTATTAAGGCTCTATAATTCCCGTGATACATAGATAATTTTATTTCTGACTGATTTCATTCATTAGATACCTTCCCGATTGGAAGTTAGACATGTTTTTCCGTATAGTTTCAATGTCATCAGAACGTCAGATGATGATCTTGACTACCGCGAATAGGAGATTCCTTATTGCTATGTTATTGCGTGGTTGTTGCTATGCATTTCTTATTTAATTTTAGCTAGAGGGAATTATAGCATCTATAACATCCCAAGGGAGTTATGACCCTCATTATAGATATCGTAACTATGACGATATAAGCTTATAATGTCACTGTCAGAAATAAAATGTATTACATGTTGTTGCTACCCCTTACTTTTCGTTTTATAATAGCTTTCCTTTATAATGTCACTGGAAATCAAGTGTCACTTTATTTGGAATACACCGATAGCACGTACTTGGAATCTTGTTTATAATTAACAACAAAAATATCGACATTTTGTGACTTTTTTACGTTACTTTAATAAGGAAACATGCCTTATAAAATTATTGCTGGTTTTATTTCAAAATAGCTTCTCCTTAACCACCCTGTATCTCTAAAACCAGCAATATTTTTATGAGGCCTGTTGGGCTAAATCTTTATATTTGGGTGTTAACTATCTGTAGTTCAGGAATTTCCTATTCTTGATTTAATAAATGAAATTATTGAGATGATATAATTGGAATATAAATCTCTTCAAGAGCGAATAACACAAAAACCGTTGAAGTTAGACAATTTGATAAAGAGTACATTTTCATGTGAAATTGGACGAGCTTTCAGATGTTCCACTTATTTTGATCATCAATGAATTGACATAGAAGATATAATGTAAATTATCGAAATAACAGAGTGCCACTAGCGCCCTCTATGAGCAATAACGAAATAAGCTGCAAACTCATATTACCCATGTCAAAAAACCTAGAAATACAAGATTTCATGTTCATGCTGTCAAAACTAACAAAGTTATTGTGAAACTTTGAAATAAAATCTCCCCCTAGAACACCCTGTATCTCCTGAACCAGCAACATTATGAGTTCAGAGATTTCCTATTATTAATGCATCACCCTGTAGAAAGAGAGTTTACTGCATTCAATGAAAATGCCGGGCTTCCACATACTACCTAGTGCAACTGATGTTGAAAAAAAAAGAACTACATTTCAGGCTCTACAATGGTTTAACCAAATTCCTGAACATATCAAAAACAGTACCTACGTCCATCAACACTTTCAATAGACACATGAAAAAAGTTCTTTAAGAAAATATGTGATGTATAAAAAAGTATCTCTGCCTACATGCACTACTTGTAATTTTAGTTGTTTATGCTACAAACATTATTATTTAATAAGTATAATTAATAATTATAGAAGTTTATTGACATGCAAGTCACACATATAATAAATAATAGTAGATGTTTATTACTCATTATGGATCTTGTTATCTCTTAGAGTATTCGAATAAATTTAAAAAAAAAACGAGAAACTAATGATTGCAAAGGCATATTATCTCACCTGTCCAACACCTCTACACCACCTTGTCGCCCACCCTCCCCACCATCGTCCTCTTCTTCCCCCTCCGCCACGTACATGGGCAGCACGTGCAGCTGCTCATCTACCGCCCTCGCCTGCCCTCTGTGCCTGGTCAGTGTCACCACCGCCGTGCACCCGTCGACCATGTTGTGCTGGTCCTTGTGCGCGTGCGCGCAGAAGTCCAGGCAGGCGGTGACGCCGGAGAAGGGGCGGCCCGGTTTGCTGCCCAAGCGGCAGGCGGTGGCCACGTGCTCGTGGCGCGTTTGATTGGCGAAGGACTGGGGCGCTAGACATGCGTAGATGGGACTGAGGTGGTCGGCGAGGTCTTGAAGTTTTTCTTCCACCTAGCAGGTGTAAAATAGACCACTGTATATAGCATGTCATAGGTTACATATGGTTAATCGAATGGCTGCCGTTTCCGGAATGTCAAGTCACTGAATAGCTAGAAATCTGAAGGATATCTCCCATGCAGTAATGAATTTGTGCCTTCGAAGTGCCCACCTGATGTAAGGTTTAGATATTTGATATTTTCATTCCATGATCTAAATAATCTGAGACTTACGAGTCCCAAAAAACAGAGACAAAGCATTGATAATGTCAAATAGAATTCGTAGAACTGAATGGAGAAAAGAAGACAAGTGGATGCAGCTCCATATTAAGTACTGACCAATGAAAAAGTGAACAACTATTGCTGTCACTCTATTTATAAAGTCACTAACCGCCAACTCTTCGTTCTGCTCCTTGAGCCGGAACTTGCGCGGCACTTTCGACTTGGCGAACTTGCAGCCGTTGTAGAACATGGACCAGGAGCAGCCGAAGGTGAAGCTGGCGCCTGAATTGGCCTCTTCGACGCCCTGGCAAGCGCAGGTCCGGGTTTCGTTTCTGCCACACCTGGTAGAGAAAACATCATCTTTTATCCGTGCAAATTCGGGATTCAATTTGAAATTTTCGCGAAATATAATATGAATGAAAACATATACCGCGTGTCAACGTATTCATTTATTTCATGGACTTCATTTAGGGGGGCAGGGACAATAAATCTCCCTGTAAAAATGACACAAACCAAAACAGATCAGTACTTTAAATTGAGAAATATGTATCATTTGTTTGAAACTGAAAAAAAGTGTCACTTCGCAATTTTTTATCAATGCGCGAACCTTGTCATTTTTTGACGTTTGTAGAAAAAGAATCTTCTTGCATTATTTCCTGTTCAGTTTATATATCATGTAAGAAGTGGGTTCCTGTCAAATTTTGTCACTGAGATGTGTCACCTAAGACAATTTGCAAAGCACGAGTTTTATCCATCTTTCTATCGGAACCGGGAGCAGATTCGTTCCAGAAGCGTCCAAAGATCAGTGAAATTTTCTATTTTTCAATACCTATAGTCTTTTGTATTGAATAGTTTTATTGATAGAGAAGAGGCGAAAAAAAAAACCGAAAACTTACATAAAAATGAGATTTTGAAAAAACGAGTGGAAAAGTCATTCAAGCATTTCAACTTTGTCACGTACCTGCGCTCTGTCGGGAGACCAAACTTGTTGAGCTTTTCTGCAAGAAATGAGTAGAGGTCATCGGCGCTGTTTCTTGCTACTCCGTCCCAGGCTACAAGGCATATCACTATGAATGCGGCATGGCAAGAGTGGCCTTTACGATGTTTGACTAAGACCAGGTACTTTTCCTCGGTGTTTTGTCGACGGACAATCTGAAAAATGTCGATATTGTTAAGTATCAAGAATGGTAAGGACGGTTTGTTTGAAGACTGAGCACATTGAGGATGGTTCAATCTCTATTCTGCAATGCTAACACCTAGCAAGCAAGTTGAATATCATAGCCCAATATCAGTGTCACGTTTCCTTTCATAGTCAAATATCAAATAGTCAGTGGAATACAATATCAACAACTCAACCCAAATAGGAAAAAAAAGGTATGTATTGTGTACTGAATGTATGATTCATTATGTGTAGCCAAATTATAGGGTAGCTAGGTTGTTTTCAAGAATGGTCACCTTACATAATTCAGTCTATGTTGCTCCTAGGTCATCATTAATGAATTTAAGTTCTTTTTATTGTTCATTGTTTCATTTTCCTAGAAGTTCCTGCTCTCAAGACGAATTGGCTATATTTTACCAGACAAAGCTGATGTGCATTTTCTGTCATCATCATGCGCAGTTTTTGAACAGAAATAGAATAATTTGCAACAAAAGACGCTCAATTACATTCGACATTCATTACTTTTGTAGTCAACCTTACAATATAAAATATCTAATCTTTGAAAATATGGTCATACAAATGAAAAGATACAGAAATTTACTTGAAATTGTAGAAATCACTTGATCAATTCAATATATTTCCATACTTGCCAGACTTCCCAAGGGAATTTACCATTTCTCATTTGATATAAAAAACTTTGTACCTATGAGAAACTTCGAATCAGCATCTCAATATGAAGTGACCCATCCTTGAAAATATGGTTACACAAATGAGAAAGGCAGGCAATAGGAGATTGGCAATTGAAAATCACTAAAATTTAACAAGTTGTTACTTCTTCACTACTTGTCAAACTTCTATGTATGAGGAACTTTGAAACAATGTCACTCGTGTTGCCTATTTGTGCCTGTTTGCAGTCAGCTCAAAACCATTTTGCAAGACCTTTGATTTCTTAGATTTTTTCAATCCCATAAACGTCCGTTGATTTATTGATTGAAGAGACAAAGAAGTCTAAGTAGCGGTTGTCGGCAAATTATGACATTTATTTGGCAAAATCTAAAAATAATTCTCCATGTGAAGGGGAGAAAACACTTTCCAATGGTCATTGTGGTAGGAAAAACTTCAACAATGCCATGTCCAAGTCCTATCTCATATAACCCTAGTTGTCATCCTTTAATACAAAGAGCACTACTCACCCATTTGGCAACAGGGCAGCCCTGCACAGTCCTGCCCTCTTTGCGGGTATGCCGCACCCTCATAATCCGTATCGCGCCTCCTTTAACGCCAGTCCTGTCCTCCAAGTCCCTCCTCAGACTACCCGCACTAGCGGCGCACCCCAGATGAGTGTAGAACACCCCCGAATCCGAGGACGAATCTGGCGGCAGCACGCATGCGCAGTCCATGGATGGTGGCTGGATGTGTTTCGATATTCGCGGTCGGACGGTCTCGGCGTTCTTCGCTTGTTCCTCTAGCAGGCGCTGGTAATTCGCCGTTTCGAATTTTATGAAGTCGCTGTCGAGGATGGTACCCGGTGGTTTCTTTTGGGAGCTTTCGTGTTTCTTATTTTCCTCGTCCACCAAGCGCTGGTAGTGTTCGGTTTCGAATTTGATGAAGTCGCTGTTGAGTACAGTAGCCTTCTGATCTCTAACTTGATATTGTCTTGTTTGTGCGGATTCATGTCGAGACTTGAGTTCAATGTATTGTTTGTTCACACGTGGTTCTAGATAATTGCAGTGCTGCGTTGAGCCAACTTCAGACTTTGGAGACGGACTTTGTACGTCACCCGAATTATCTTGATATCGGTTTGGAATTGGCTGCTGTGATTGATATAAATGGTTGTGAGGTTGACTTTCATTGTGCATTTTCTGGCCAACTCTATGCCTGTATTGTTTCAAAGAGTTGATCTGACTATGTTTATTGAAGGCAGCGCTCGAGTCTTCGTTCTTTGTACTGTAAAAATCGGGATTTTTGTGGGAGCCACCATCAGCACCTAATTGCTTTGCTAAGTGTTGATGGTGGCTAAACCATAAAAAATGACCGGTAGTGTTTTGTTCAGCTGCTTTGTTCTCCTCCAACTTGTTGTCTTGCTGCTGCTTGTTGAGTATCATCGTTTTGATTCGCGTATTGAGATTCACCTTGTCGGCTTGCGAGAACGTCTTAGCCGGCTGCGTCTCCTCCATCTTGTTCGGCGAGTGCGACACTTGTTGCATGTAGTGCTCCTGGTGTTCGTAGTCCGGTTCGACTTTCATGTGCTGCTGTTCCCACATGATTTGCCCTTCGTTCTGCCACTCCTGATGCTCCTGTCCGCCGTACTGGTCCTGGCCTGGGTAACCACTAGAGTTGTGTGAAACTACCTGCGGACTGCTGGCGTTCACTTGCGGGTACCCAGGCTGACCGTTTCCCGAACTTGCGTTCACGTAATTCGTGGCGGAATTCGGGCTGAAATTGCTTATTGTGGTGAATGCTTGCTGCTGCTGCTGCTGTTGCTGCTGCTGCTGTTGTTGTTGCTGCTGCTGGTGGTTGACTTGTTGCTGTTGGGCAGTTTGAGGTATTTGTTGAGCGAAATTCTGATTGGGAGTAGGAGGGTTGCCAATGTTGTTGACGGACCCAGGTCTCGAGGTATTGCCGTTTTGTGATGATTCGTTAGCGGTAGGGGTGGTAGCAGGAGGGATGAAGTTCTGTTGGGACTGGTTCCCTTGTTGAGCAATATTGTACTCCTGGTACTGCCTACTGTTAGGTTGCTGCTGCTGTTGTTGCTGCTGCACTGGACTAGGGCTGGGAGTGTGTGAGTAATTGGAATTCGGTCGCGGTGGTGCCAGCTGTACTTGCTGGATAGGAGTACTAGATGGTCTGGGGTTGGCCAAAACTTGCACAGCCCCCGAGTAGAAGGTATTAGCTTCGAATGCGGGTTGGTAGGTGGCTTGGTAGATACCGTTCGGGTATTGCTGGTAGGTCTCTATAGGTTGTCCGGTTGGAGGGATTTGTTGGATAAACTGGCTTTGCGGCCACCCTGGATGAAAAGTATGCTTGTATAAGTGATAAGAAATCAATAAATACTACTCTGAATATTGACATTTTGGATTACAATATGTATGTATGTTTCAACGATAGCTGAAGGTAGGTACTAGGTTCTTACCTTGCGTTGGGTCTGCCTGCCATACTGGTGTGGGAAATCTGTTTGGGTCAGCGTAGAAAGGCATTGGGGCCTGGAAGAATAAAATAAAAAAAATTGTTAATTACTCCACCAGTATTAATATTCCAATAATAATAGTGATAGGGAACAGTCAGTTTTTATTTTTTGCCAATGATGCTGTGAGTGAGTTTCATCGACGACAAGATATTATGGAAACATTATTGTTGTTTCAACTATCGTTCAGTCTTCTTATTCTTATCAGTGATGATTACATTATCACAATGAAGAAGAAAAGTTTATAGTCAGACACTGATAATTTAACAATTGATATCTGAAAGAATACTAATGAGAATAGTGATAACAAAAAAAAGTTTACTTTTGTATTATAAAGTTAGAGATGTACTTTACTGGGTGTCCCAGTTTACCTGTTCCAATAGTTGTTGGGAAATACAAGGTATTATAGGTACATTAATGGAAACATGATTCCGAGTAAGTATTCGAAAACTGAAGAAAATATACAAGGTGCCATTTTGAGATACCAAAGTAAAAATCCCATAGTGAAAATTTGAAATTTTGATCAAGCCAATGAAAAAAATCGTGAGAAGAATCGAACTTTTCGTTGAGTTATACTTACTTAATGATTTGATGTGAGTACGAAAAAAATAAAAATAATAAATACCTCATACTTCAGAATTCAAAACTCGAAAACCTTACTTTAAAGAAAAATTAGCAGAAAACTAAAAAAAAAACGAAAGTAACGAATGATCATTCAGTTTTGTATACAAAATGCGGGTAGGGAATATTACCGTAGGTCTGATCCGCATTATATCAGTGCACACTCTGCACCCCCTGAAAACAGTGTCAATTTTCACGACCGATATAGCTTTTCACATCATTTTCACATGTCTGACAAAGTTAGAGGACATTTCCCGCAGAGAGGGAATTATCCTTCACTTGAGTTATTCGATAAATTGGGGCCAGAATGGTTGCAGGGGTGACACCAAACGACAATATTATGGTTTCTCCCAGAGAATTTTCATTTTATAGTGATATAAAATTTTCGTGGACGCCTTAAGAATTGGGAATCACATTAGATGTGATAAGCAAACTAAGAAGAGATTATTGGACATGGACATTTCAGTGCAACAAGTTTCTGATGCCATCGACAATTTAAACGTTCAAAAAGGTCCCCGTCCTGATAATATACCCAGTATGTTCATTAAAAATTGTGAAGTTAATCTAACATCACCCCTTCTTAATATTTTCAATTTGTCACTTCACACAGGGGTATTCCCATCTAAATGGAAAACTTCAACTATTATGCCTCTCCTTAAAGGGGGCAACAGGAGCAATATCAAGAATTATAGACCCATTAGCAAACTCTGTATCTTTAGATGTTCGAGAAAATTGTTCATGAAAGAATTTTAAACATCACGAAGAATAAGATTATTCCTCAACAACATGCCTTTTACCCCGGTAGATCCATAGACACAAATTTAATAGAATTTACAGATTACATCATAGAACAAATGGATGATCAAACGCAAGTGGACGTAGTATATAAACCGACTTCAGTAAAGCCTTTGATAAAATCAATCACGCATTGCTCATTAAAAGACTCGCTGAAGTTGGTGTAGATTCGTATCTTCGCAAGTGGGTATGGTCTTATATCTCTCAAAGATCCCAAATAACAGAGATTAACGGTTACAAATCTGACTCCTTTCTGGTAACTTCAGGGGTACCACAGGGAAGTCATTTGGGACCGTTACTCTTTATAATTTATATTAACCATATTGGGGAAAGTTTCAAAAATTCAAATTTTTTATTATATGCCGATGATCTGAAAGTATATCGTGCTATAAAACATTTCGATGATTGTAACAAACTACAAGAGGATCATGATTCATTTGTTGAAATATGCAGAAATTCTAGTTTGTTTTTGAACTATGATAAATGCCTCACAAAATTAAATATCAGTACAGAATAAATGGTCATATAATGAAAACCAACGAAATTCGTGATCTTGGAGTCATTATGGATTCTAAAATGATTTTTAAAACTTATATCGAAAAAATGGTTAATAATTGTAATCGCTTATTGGGATTCATAATAAGAAACACTAAACACTTCACGAATGCTAAAACTCTCTTGAACCTTTATTATGCATTCATATAATAATATAGTAAATTGAATTTTGCTTCAATTGTTTGGAGTCCCCAATATGCCACTTATCAGCAGAGAATCGAAAGCATCCAGAGCAAATTTGTTGAACAACTAGCTCGTGAATCAGATATCCCAATAGTAAACAGTAATTACAGTCCAATTCTCAGAAAGAATTCCATGTTGTCTCTCACCGATAGAAGAAGCATGTCAGACCTTCTGATGATTTATAAAATATTCAACAAACGCATTGATTGTCCCCGGACTATCGTCCAAAATATCCTTGAGTACACCTAGCAGAGATTTAAGAAGCCATGAAACCTTCAACACACCTTTCAGAAAAACAAACTCAGGATTAAACTCTCCCATTTGCAGAATGGTCAGAACTTTTAACAGCTACTGTAATGAAATCACAATCTTCAGATTTAACCCTTAAACTCAAAGTGAAATTCAGTCATTGGAACGGCCATGAGGCGCCATCATATTATTTTCGTTTCTACAGCGCATGTCGGCGTGAACATACATTCAGAGGCAGCGCCACCTACTATATTCTCATTTGGAATGTAGTATAGGTATTATATGCATTCTCGCAAAGAGATAAGTAAATCAAGAGTCCTTTATATTTGAAACAACTAAGTAGTTTAATCAGGTAAGTACCTTTTCGTGGTGGACATGTCACTTGAATAACCGATTTTATTAATGAAATATCTGATGTCTGTTCCTGTTCACATTCCAAATAAATCGATTTTTTGCCCGTTTAACGTGCCCTTCCCTTTAATGGATCCGACGCTGGAAGCGATTTAGCTACCCCAAGGGGGAGCAACGCGTCCCCGACCTGTCCCAACGGTAGGGGAGACCCTTCAGCTACGCTATCAGACGGTGATCTCCCCAATCCTCAGAAGCCCACGATAACGGGGAATTTTCATTATCAAGGTTACAATGCAGTGCATATTTTTAGGGATAGGCGTAACTGGATGAAGGCGAGCCTACTGTATGGAGGCCTCCCAAGTTCATCACCATCAATAAACAGGGAAATAATACAATGATACAGTGATTTTCTTTCCATATGGTGACTTTTTATTTCTGGTATGGGTATTTTAAAAAGCGTCAATTCAATTTCAGGAACCGTCAGTTGTATATCAGAATAGTCATTTGTATTTTATTAGAAAGTATCAAATAGTCGATAGATTTTCAGAAAGCGTAATTTGTATTTCAAATAATATTTTCTGAAATACATACACTTTCTGAAATGCATTGGAATATTCTGAAATACAATTGACGCTTTTTAAAATTCAATAGACTATTCTGGAATACATTCTGAAATAATTCACCTGGAAAATGCGTAGTGTCAGATTTCAGTTGCAAGTTTGTGTTCTTATGGCCAACATTTTCGAGTTTTGAAATGTCAACAGCTTTCCGCCTACTCCTACTAATAATAGTAATATTCTTTTGTTCTGAATCTTGTGACTGATCATTAAAGTGAAACTAAACGTGATGAAACTGAATGTAGGTACATTTTTATTTAAATTCTATTCAATTCAATGAAAGTTGCTATCACAATAACAAATTTCATTGATCTTATGTAAAGGTATGTAATTTTTTTGTAAAAACTACAAGCTTGTGAATATGAATTATATTTCTGCCTTCAACTGTTGTTCACCAAAAAACAAAAGTTGAGAACACAGCAACTTACTGCCAAAAGAGAACAACTTTAAATCGTATTTCTATTATAAAACAATGAAACAAATAAAAAAGGCTTACTGTAAAATCCAAATGAACCCACACTGTTTTTGATGAAAGAAACGGCAAAATTTCTCAGTTCAATCAGAAATCGAAACTAAATAAAAAATAGAAATGTCACATGAAAGTGGAAGGGTGGTTGGTGGCAGTGTTGCCGTTTCAGAATTTCAATTTGTACTAGAAGTCCTTCAGAAATTATACTAAATTCAAGTATATTGTACTAAATTGAGAAAATAACACTTCAAAATTTACGATTTACACATTTGATGAAAAACTTCATATTCATTCATGAAAATTTTGAATAATAATATACAGCACATTAAAACACCTCTGAAAAACGTAAACTAATAAAAGCCGAAAATGAGAGATGAAAAGGAACAGATCAGATTACAGATTGAGATCAAATACTATCATACTATCAATAATATCAGCTCATAGTTTCTCCGTTGAATTGGAAATTATGGACTTTTAATCAATGAGGGCTTCATTAGGATTCCAATTATAACATATCTTCTCCAAATAATTGTTTTGTATGCAATAATAGCTTGGGCTATCCCATGGCACAGGCAGTTGTATTGAGTTCATTGGGCACAGGTGCCCATGGAGCTTCGGCTCTTGTTTTTGTACTAGATCAGTGTTAATTATCTTGACACTGTGTCTTGACGTACTAAATGTGTATAAAATGTACTAGAACAGTACAATGGTACTAAAAACGGCAACTCTGGTTGGTGGTTCGCCTTCAAGGTTTCGAAAAGACGGGGAATCACCGAAGCATAATACGCTGTTGCCGGTGCAGCGCCAGCGTTGCTTCAGTATTTAATATCCCACCGGTTCGTTGCGGGAGAGAGGACATATTATGACCTCTCGCTCAGTGTTGTTGCATTGCCGTGGCGGTATTTTTAAAATTCCCTTGAGAATATCGAATATACGGAAAGAATGAAAATATCATTTCTGCATGAGGAAAATACTTTTTTTAAGAATCCTAGCCTAATATACAGTGATTCAAAAGTCAGTATCAAAATTTCAGGGGCTTATTCTTCGAATCAAAATAATACTTTTTTCCCTATAAAATTGCCATGGGTTTGTTATGTTCATGTTGGATGTAGAAATTTTTGCAGAAAATGATCAACAAAAAAATCGATAATAGGTTTGATGAAGAGCCTTAAAGTAGACTTAAATTAAGGATTAAGGTGAATACAATATTCTCATATTCCTTCTATTTGAGATTTGGTTCTGCTAGCTTAACGGTTAAGGTAGCAAAACCCGTGATTTAAAAACAAACAATGTGCGAAAAAATCGGCAGTAGGCTAGGACTAGAGCTTTAAATTAGCCTTAAATTATGGTATAGGTTTGTGATTGAACTTTCATTTACAAAGTGGTTCTGCTAGCTTATGCTTATGCAAAAAGTGGCGTTCACAACCAAACTTTTTACGTTTTGCTTTTTACGTTTCGCATTCTGATTGGTGAAGCAAAATCTGGAATGGACATGACGCAAAAAGGTGAATATTTTCAGCTTTTTGCGTTGCAAGATGCCACTATGTGTGAAAATGGCACGATGTAGGAAAATGGAAAAATAGACAAATACTCAATACTCAACCTATTTCGACACCATACCTCAATGATAGTCTCACCCAATATTTGCCTTTTTAGGATTGATTTTTCCCCTTCAAGGAGCAATTTACGTCTATGCCAGTACTAATGAATATTAATCGTTATTTAATTAATATTATTGTTGTGATTATTTCACTTCATTTCATGATGAAGCACAAGTGACAAAGCCGAGGCAACTGAGAAAAACCGTAAAAACTCACGTTAACGTTTTTTTGTTGAGAATGACATTTGCTTCAGTTCAATTCACGTTCAATTTCAGATTCCGCTTCACTTATCAGAATACAAAACGTAAAAAGTTTGGTTGTGAACCCCGCTTAAATCGAAAAGCAATAAATTCTGTAATAGGGTAATAAATTAGCATTAATTTAGTCTTAAATTAAATTAAAATTGAACAATGTTAAGTGGTTCTACTAGCTTAATGGGGGTATGAATATCACTAATATAGTGAATGCTAGTGGAAAAGATCACCTTCAATATTGAAAAGGGATATTCTCAGAACATAAAAAAAAATTGATATATTTATAAAAAATACATTGAGAATTCGCATTCTCCATGTGATGAAAATATCAATTCTTCCTTGGTCTATTCAACAGATAACAACTACTTTCCTGGCTATATGCCACGACAAACATTGATTTATATCTATTGCACACAGGATAACAATTTGAGAACAAAATCTTCTGAAGTAGAGAATTTGCATTCTCCCCCATATGAAGATATGTACATAATATCATCCTGAATATTCAACAGAAAACAACTACTTTCCTGGCAATGTGCCACGTCGAACATTGAATTACATCTGTTGAGCATCCAAAAAGGGAGCATGAAAAATGAAAATCCTCTGAAATTGAGAATTGACATTATTTCTCAAATCGGATGAAATAACATGATGTATTATGATATAAAAATATAACTTACCTATATGTTCAGTATTGAAATGAAAATTGTAATGTATAGAAGAAGTATACTTGTATAAACTCTGATCTTGATGAGCTTTGAACTTCAGAATTTCTTTTCACGTCCTGTATGATGAATGTCAATTTATCATACATCCAAAAAATTATCTTGAATGATACTATTCAAAATTACAAATTCTTATAACATTCAGGCTAATGAAGGCACTCGTTTTTACCGGAAGTAAACTCAAATCGATATTGATTTCAATAATCGGAAGCAACCCATCAAGCATCAAATCGATTTTTTTTTAAATTAAATAAGGGTTGAATTCGGATTCCAAAAAATAGGCAGCTACTCAGATAGTGATATCATAGATTGTTCGATCTATGGTGATATCTAGAGTTCCCAAATGGACTTGAACAACAGTGTCAAGTACATTTAGGAACTCTAGTGATATCGACATTGGTTTATAACCAACCAAAAGTAATTAATCGCGTAATTATATACAGGGTCGGCGAAGCAAAAATATGGATAATAAATTAAAGGACTCACCATAGGTTGTTGCTGCACTGGCATCGGTACGGACGTAGGCTGCGAACTGGGCCTAGATGCGGAAGGCTGCGCGGCACCGGGAGGTACTGCTACCGGAGTACTACCGCTCTCTTGTGGCAATATGGTACCGGTGGCTGCCGAACCGCTTGGCTTTCGACCTCGGTAGCTCTGCAAACATTAACAAATGATCTTGTTATGAATTATGATTGACGTATGAATAGGAGGGATTGATGAGTAGGTACTTCTGAGATGTAAGAGAGGTATATAGGGGTGGTTGCCTAATACTGTATTATTTTCTTTTTGGGCTATTATGGGAATTTATAGGGCCATCATTGTGATGTGCTGTTTTTATAATGATTCATTTATTTTACAAGGGGGAACTAAATCAAGTTGCATCTTGCATCTGACAAACTAAAATATCAAATGATACAGAATGTTCTAAGAATAACTACAATATGGTTAAAGGGCAAACCAGTACATAAACTATCACTCTTTGATTGGTTTATTTATACAATATCCACTGGGATGACCAGAGATATGACACGAGAGAAGCCGTAATATTTACAGTACCGAATAAATTCATTATTAGACAAGCTCTATTTCTGAGCAATCTCCTGAGACAGGGCGATTTTAATTCTCAATTTGCCACATTCATGAGGAAAAATTGAGTTATCACGTCCGCGACTATTTCTTCAAATGGAACACCCTCTATGTATTATTCAATTTTTGGAATCTCCATGGAAATCTCTGAATTCAAAAATATATTACACTTTTTTTTTATCGCTTGGAGCGCACGAAAGATCAACGTATTGACCAACGAAATATGGAAATCATTACCAAGTTGATTGACGATTAGTGTTATTTGTGATGAAGATTGATATTTTCTCTCCCGATAAATGAAATATCACACAGTACACCAATTTGATGAACACAATAAAAATTAAAACAATACAGAGGAACATCTTGACCACAAATTAGTAGCCCTTGAAAATAAAATCGACCTGTTTTTTCGATTTCTCATATTATTCACTGGAAGGAAGATATTGAGTGTGGGATGTTTTCAAAATGTATCTATCGGACCGTATATTCTGAGGTTAATTCGTATACAAGATCTCCGAATGCTGGAAAAATAACATTCTCAAAATATAAAACATGTAGGCATTCACATGCAACAGGTAGGCAAGATAGCAAGATATGGGCAAGATGGCGTCGGTATCTCGCGATCATGCGACCTTGAATATAGTCCTACTTGGACCAAGGACGACAGACAGTTGCCAGGGATAATGTGCAGAATTCACTTCCACCATAGTGGCGTGCAGGCAATCAGGAATACGTGTGTGTGTGTGTGCAGAAAACTTTTTTATTGTTTGAATATTTCTGAAAATTCTCATGAGAAATGCGTTTTATTTGATTAAAAAATGATACTCTTGTTGCATTTGGATGACTCAAGCTGTTGAAGAATTTATATGTATTCATGATAATGTTCCTGGAACATAGTAGTAGGGAAGTCTGGGATTTCCTTGGGAAGTCTGGGAATTCTTTGGGAAGTCCGGGAATTCCTTGGGTAGTCCAGATAGTCTTTGGGAATTCCAGGTATTCATCAAGAAGTCCGAGAATTCTTTGGGTGGTCATTCAGCAAGGGATGTCTAGTGTACCCGAAATTGGCCCGTGATTTACCCCTCGTAAGATATCTATTTTTAATCTTAATAATATTCCTGATACCACACGCGTTCAACAAAATGTTCCGTGTGCCAAACTAGTGAAAACATTGAATTACATCATTATCTGTCCTTTTTCTCTGTATAGATACTAATAATTAATGTACCTATATATCTATCTAGGTCATATATGAGGTAAAAGTAAACATCGTTTACCTAGATATAAACACCGAGATAAACACATCGTGGTATAAACCGAGGTATAAACATTGATTTTAATAACTGTATTCAAATTTCACAAAGATAAGGTAGATAAAATATTCATACCTGCATGAAGATTTCTGGGTATTCCTACTTTACAGTAATTACAGTATTATCTATACCTAGTAATAGACAGATACACTAAATTATTTGTTCTTAAATATCTATGGCAGTAGTACATGAACACATTTGTAACTATAAACAGAAACTAGAAACAGAAAAGCGATCCTTCTTCCACCAGAACAAACGTGAAAGCAGTGTTGCCAAAGTGTTGTTCCAAAATTCGACTTGTACTAATGTCCGTTGTCAAATTGTACAACTTTGGCGGGAATTGTGCAACTTATTCAAAATAGTTATACCTTCATAAATTCGAAGGAAATAAAAATTAATAATGGAAAAAACTTGGAATAATTTTGTCCTTTTCTTTGGAACATGAGCTGGTTCTGGATCATTTCCCAAAGGTGATCCGAATTTCATCAAAAATCTGAATGAAAGAAAATACAAATGATTTCTGCCTAGTTGATGAATAAATTCCATAATTGTTTCAATCAAAAAATTATAATTATTAATGTCAAATATCGAACCTTCTTCTTGTCGTTATAAAGTTTGTCATAATCCTTCAACGTTATGTGAACTCTATTCCTTCTTCTTTTTTTTACATTCTTGGAATTTTTCAGAAATTGTTCAACATTTCACTCATTGATTTGAACGAATGTTGTAGTAAATGTACACATCAATCTTCTGTACAATTGTACAGCATGGAACAACACAATGCCAACAGTTGAAATTTTAAATCACCAGTGAAGTAAAAATCACAAGATTTGAAAAATTATCACCAGATTTCACAAAATCTGTAATAAGTATATCAGAAAAACTAGAGTATTTTTGTGCAATTGCGTATAAGAGACATGGAAAAGTATAAAATTAAGCAGTATAATTATTTGAAAAAAATCTTCTCATTTTCGAAAATTTAAAAAATAACATTTTCAATAGAAATCAACCGCACCTAAGTAAAATGTATTACCAATCAGAATAATAATAATAAAGGTACTTGCATGAAGCCTGCTCATTCCACTTCATTAGTACTTTTGTGATTTGCGTTTTTATTAATCAAATTATCACTAATTTCATAATTGAAACAATGTTCTCTCCACTGTTCGATATAAATCTCTTAGTGTTTTTTTGCTTTGGATCTTGTTGGATTTTTTATTATTTTGAACGTTATGTTTTAGTCTTATGTCTTTACCGTTGATTGATATTTTACGCCCAGCGTTATATACAGGGTGTTTCATAATTGAATGTCAATATTTGAGGAGGCGATTCTCGGGCCAATTCTAAGAATGAAGTTTCATATGAACGTATGACCTAAACGTCCTAACTTTTGAGATACAGGGTGGTAAAGTTCTCAAAAATTAATAGTTTTTTATCAATATCTGTAATACTACTTCAGATATTCTAATGAAATTTGGCATACATGTACTATGTATCAAGAGGCATCAGTAAGTGTACCACATTTTTGTTGGTTGCCACCAGTGGCGTTCGTATGGAATTTCACATACCTATTTTGGCAGACATTGATGGTACGCCACTGATTAATCTCGAAATTGAAATCTTTAATGAAATTCCCAATCGTTTCTTAGCAAACTTGATCACTACAATTCTTTCGATCTGATGCACGGTTTTCGCTTAAAAAAATAAAAAGCTTTTCACTACATGATTATAACAATATCGTTAATATGACAATATCACAATGCAGAGGAATAGATTTGATTTTTTAGATCAATTTCCAGAGATACAATTCATCGTTTATGAACTTCCTATTCGTATTTGGTATTTTGGAATTATTTCTTTTCATTGTAGTAGGCTATATTAATTTTTGAGAACTTTACCATCCTGTATCTCAAACGTTAGGACGTTTAGGTCATACGTTCATATGAAATTTTCTTCTTAGAAGGGGCCCGAGAATCGCCTCTTCAAATATTGACATTCAATTAGGAAACACCCTGTATATCAATCAACGATTAGGCGGAACTGTTGTGTCACAGTGTTTCTGAAGTCAATGTCTATCTATCCTCCCTACTCGAATGGATTGAACGGAGATAAATACACACTTCAATAATACAGAAACATACTCTACCCGTTCCTTATCCCAATGCCGATGATTGTTATAGGAAATGTGAATTGGGTGGTAAGATTTTCTTCTCCACTCTTCTTTTTCTTCTTCTATCCTAAGGGCCTATGATATTCTATGTGGAAAATCATCAGATTTCACAGTTTATTTGAAAATAATCACCATACCACCAAATTAGCAAAGAAATCGCCAAATCAGGTGATAAATCACTGACATTGGCAACACTGCGTGAAAGTGAATGCTACACTGCTAAATAAAAAAATATGCATTTCCTTTCATTTCATAAAATCGAGCATCTATTTTGTTTCGCCCAACCAAAACGTATGTCTTTGATGCATCCGTATTCTACGAACCCTGACGGAACTTTGCGGTTATTGACGAAGTTTAGGTGGCCTTAATTGTTGATGCGGTATCCCAGATCGATTTTTGTTATCAAAGATATTTTGCTCGTTATCTTATGATTATTTTGAAGAGTATAGCATTCATTGACTAGAATAATGGTTTCTAGAGAGAAGAATGTCATCGATATCGAGCAGTGTCGTTACGTCACAGGGTCATGATTGTTATATCAGTGGGGTGAAATGTTGGTTGCCGTCATTCGGGCGCGATGGCGCGAAAACTGAACACATTTTGGATACTTCGAGGAGCGCCTTAATTTGAAATCGGAATTAAATCTAGGTTTACGGTTTAACGTTTTCTGATAAACGTCGATGTAATTGGTATATGAAGGGCAAACTAGAAAAATAATCGATATATCTTGTTTTCAAATAAAAATCTACAGTGGCATGTCGAGACCAATTGTTAAATGTTACTAGCGATTTTTTCTGACATACTCTTGATCCTCTTTCTACTGAAGACACTGTTAAAAATTGAAATGATTTTACTGAATCTTTCGATCCAACCAACTTACCAATGTTTGTAATAACATGTAAGTAGGCAATTGAGAGTTGAGACACACCATCGATAAAGGATGTACATATACCTAATGTGTGATATTTTTTGAAAATTATGAGATTCTTTAGTTGATGAAGGTTTCATCAGGTACAGGTATAAAACTTAGTTGGTTTTTTAGACTGTATTCTTCTATCGTATATGTATTAAATAAGGAAATCACGAGATGAAGGATTCATTTAAATTTTGTTTATAATCATATATTCTTCATTTACAAATTATATTGCAAAATTTGAATTTTTCAACAATGAGAAATAAAATAATGCGAATTAGTTTCAAATTCCGACAAAATTCTGGTTGTAATGTGAGGTTGAGTTAGGTGAATTCTTTACAATCCACAAAGATTTTTACTTTGAAAAATTTTCTTCATTATTCTCCTATCAATTCAAGAATGTTGATGCAGAATCATTGACGTTTCCCAAAATTTCCATAAATCCATAATGGACCCCGCACAAAACCATAGGGAATTGGCCCACAGTGGGATTTACCTGAAATTCACATATGTTATTGATATGGAGTATCTGATCAAATGTTTTCATGTGACCAATCCTCTAAGACCAAAGATTCAGCTCTCAGGGTCGTATCTAGTATAGGTGCCAAATAAACAATGACACTTTTTTTTTCAAGCCCATGATTTTTGTATCTCCCATTATAATTTAATTGAATGTGAAATGTTGCGAAATCTTGGCATTTGTCTTTTAGCACAAGTCCTCTGTAAAACATGCCTTGTCCTACAGGGCCGTATTTAGTAAAACTGTATTTGCCAAAGTGCCGAATCGAATTGATTTTGTTATTACTTTGTTATTTCTTGTCCTATTTCAGTGGTCGTTTGATAGATGAATGTAGATTTCTTTGTATACATAACAAAAGTGGTCACCATCTTAATATTTAAGAAATCATGGGCTTGAAAAAAAAAGTGTCATTGTCTATTCGGCACCTATACTAAATACGACCCTAAGAGCTGAATCTTTGGTCTTAGAGGATTGGTCACATGAAAACATTTTATCAGAAACTCCATATCAATAACATATGTGAATTTCAGGCAAATCCCACTGTGGGCCAATTCCCTATGGTTTTGTGCGGGGTCCTTTATGGCTCTATAGGTTTTTTGAGGTTTTCTGTCCTCGTCTCTATACATTAAAATTAAATTGTCTCCAAAATGTCTCTGCTCTCGAAATTTACTTATTAGAAACCTCAGAGGAATATTCAATCGCTATAGTCACTGAAACATGATTCTAAAAATGTTTTAAGAAGAAAAATAAAGGTGTTTTTTCTGTGACGGGAAAAAAGTTTGGCATTTCATCTCTGTTGGCAGGTTATAAAATGTCACTTTTCATAGTCACAGTTCTTTTTTCCCGGATATATATCACATATTTGTGCACTGTTGATGGCTTTTGTTGTGCTATAGTTCCGAAAAATGAGTCAATAATACCGTCTCCGAGAAAGAACTGCAAGTCCTTTTATCTTCCATTCGACTTCGCGGTCACGAATATTACTAAACAACCACTAAATTCGCAATTTTTTGAAATCAAATCATAAAATTAGACTGACAGAAGTGACATCAGATATTTGATTACTTCAAAAAGAATGATAAAGATGCCTACAACGCAGGTGTCCCTACTGCTAAAAACTTGAAACTTCACGTCGATAATTTTCAGATCTCAAAATAATGTAATATCTCCTCAATATTGATTCGTCCTTTCTTCTGTCACAGAAGAAAATAGTGTATTATACACGGGAAAAATATTAGATTTTTATCTCACGGTTTTTTGTCTCCCGACTCGTAACTCCACAACCTGGAGCTAAAATCTACTACTTTTTTCCCTTGTATAATAAATAACTATTTTAAAATTGAATTTTGATAATGAAGTCTTCGTGTTCGTGTGTGGACCCTTCTCAATGACATAAGTTGTCAGAAATGACTGTTAGTTACAGGGTGTTTTTTAAATTGATATTGTATTTACCGTTTTCATATTCGAATAAAGTACCTCTACCATGTTCTATCTATAGGTATCAACTGAATAAGAAGCTATGTTACCATCTCCGTTCAGAAGAATGCAAGCAGATTCTTTGATTATTATTTTTCCTATGATTTTGATATAATTAATTTCATTTCGCCATATTGTTGTCCATTTCCAGTAAGGATAAATTTTAGGC